CATGCTGAGAGGGGCATCGTTCGAAGATACTTTGCATGTCTCTTGCCGATGCGGCTGCTGTTGGTCAACGGCGACGTGGATTCGGAGGATCCGGAAGTCGAGTCGGTGAAGGATGGTCCAGAAAGCGGCTACAGCGCATTCCCGGCAATCGCAGCGAGACAACAGCACGCAAAAAAGAGCCATCAAGCTGGTTGGGGCGACAGCACAGACGGCGAGAATTTGTTAGGCAACTTCTTCCGTTTGAAGGAGATCCTACGCAAGATGCAAGGCGAGCATCTTTTTCATAACTTCTCTGAGCTCCCGCTCAAGCCCGGCGACACGATTGCCAGACGCTTCGTGTACCGCTGCCGTGCTATGGTGGATCCACCAACTGGCGTAGCTGGTTTTCATGCGTCTGCAGACAGCCTGGTAAGAGGCCAGCTCCGCGCAATGTCTGGCTTGGCCGTTGCCCTGCAACATGGTCTATTGCCAGACCGATACTTGGACGTCGCCTTCAGCGAGGATCAGCTTCTTCCGGTTCCCCGACTACCGACAGGCACGGAATTTCAGACAGAATGTATTTACAGAAAAGACTTTCACCACCTCCTTCAGCCGTTCTTCAAGTGCGAGGAAGCAGCAAAGTTCCGCCGGAAGGTTGAAGACAGGATTGCAGAGGTCGTTCTCAGTGGCACATTTGAGAAATGGTTCCAGGACGAGTTAGTTCCCAGCACTGCTAAGCTGGCACTACTCGGTCCACCCGGGCAGACTCTTCCGAGAGAGAAGGCGCCGGCTGCGTACACAGAAGTCCTTCGTTTACTACGTGAAGCTGAAAAAAGTGGGAGGTGGCCGCCGTGTTCAAAGGGCAGGGAAAAGGTCATCAAAGATTCCACTCTAGCAGAACACGGAGGTGCCGGTGGTTCTTTCAGCGTGGGCTCGATGCCAGATGGTCTGGATGCTCCGAATGGAAACCGTTTGTTCCCAGAGTTAGCGAAATGCGCTTTCCAGCTGGAACGGGTTCTACGTCCAGACCGCAGAAGCAGCACTATCGCCATCAACAAGCGAGCACAGTTCGTGCCACACCTCGACTCCGGCGCTGGTGCAGGACAGGGTATCTCACTGATCGTGGGTCTTGGCGACTACTCCGGTGGCGAGCTTGCCGTGGAGGGCAACACGCATGACATCAGGTATAGGCCGCTCGAGTTCAATGGGTGGACGCAAAGACATTGGACACAGCCCTTTGTGGGAGAGCGCTTCTCCTTGGTGTGGTTCACACCTGCAGGCTGTGAAGCAAAACCTGGCCTTGAGCTGTTCGAGACTATTGCAGGTAGTGAGAGCATTCCTCCCACTGTGCCATCGTCGCTGTCCACACCTTCCGCATCATTTTGCCTGGCTCCTTTGACCCGTCTTTGCAACGGTTTGGAGATCCCACGCCTCGGCTTCGGCACTTGGCAACTTCAGGCCGAGGGCTCGTCCCTTTCTTGTGAGAAGGCCATAGTCATGGCCTTGGAAGCAGGCTACCGCCTAATCGATACTGCATCCATCTACAAGAACGAGACGGCTGTAGGTCAAGCCCTGCGAGATTGGCCTGGAGGCTCAGGTGTCTTTGTGTGCTCGAAGTGTTCGCCGTACGAAATGGGATACCAAAGAGCGCGAGATGCCTGCTACAAGTCTCTTGAGCGGCTGGGTCGAGACTGCTTGGACTTGTACCTCATCCACTGGCCAGCGCTGCCCAAGAAGCCGCATTCATCTCCAGAGCACCGCCGTGCTCGAATCGAGACTTGGAAAGCGCTGGAGGACCTCTACAGGCAGGGCATCGTGCGAGCGATTGGCGTCAGCAACTTTACGGCCCAACATTTGCAGCAGTTGGAGGAGGATGGAGCGCAAGTGATGCCCATGGTGAATCAAATTGAAGTGCATCCTTTGTATATACCGAAGACGACCATTCAGTTCTGTCGATCAAACAACATCGTGGTTGAGGCATATGCCCCGCTCGGAGGTGGCCCTTCGAGCAACGTTGGTAAATCCACTGCGGGTGAAGTGGACGGCACAAAGCTTCTTCTGGGCCACCCCGAAATTGGCAAGATCGCCAGCGAAACCTGCCGGACTCCTGCTCAAGTCGTCTTGCGCTGGGCCTTGCAGCGAGACTTGCTTGTGATTCCTCGAAGCAGCAATGCTTCGCGAATCCGGGAGAATGCAGCCCTGTTTGACTTCGAATTGTCTGAAGATCAGCTTTGCCGAATGGAAGATTTGGCCGTCGTTGGTGGACAGAAGTTCTGCTGGAATCCGTCAAGCATCGCGTAAAACAAATGCTCCTTGTGGTGATGTACTGGAAGTCAGCAAGTAGTACCCGACCGTCAAAGCACACTGCACCAGAGACCTCATCAGGCGTGTCCGAGTTGCGAGAGCGTAAACGCGAACTCCCAGCATAAATTACATTTATACTCAAGAGTAGTGAGGCTGCAGCTGGTGAACTTGCGTCGCTTGCTCAGATGGCAGACATGTGCGTCTGCTTGCTCGGCTTCATGCTTCAGTGTGTGGTAGAATTGGTAGAGAGTTGAGAAACCTTGTGGAACCTGTACGCGCTGCTTGAACGAAGGAAAGGGACCTCCAGCATTGACCAACATCCTGGCGAGGCTGCGGGACCCTGCGGTTCTCTCCTCTGGTCTTACGGTTACGAAGCATGTCTCAGACGGAAGAACGTCCACAGCCAGACCTTTCTAGTTTCTCCGCCAAAGATGCATTCTATGAGCGCAACGTGTAGTTTCAGGCGCATCCACCACGGTTCCCAACGTGCAAGCTTAACCCTTTCAGCTTTTCTGGTAGCCACTCTCTGGAAACTTCATCGTGGGCTTCTTCGGCACGTTTAAGTTTTGTTCCTCACAGATGCCAGGCTGGAAAACCTTTCCCACATTCTGGCCTGGGCGAGCGTCGGTGACTGAATGTTGCCAGGGGATTCACCGATTCGCAGGCTTACGTATCACTTCAATTCGGGAGTTGTTGCTGATGACGATGACAGTACGCGATCCCCAATGACACAGTTCGGGAAGCCGTGTGCGTGAAATGACAAAAGCAGGCGTTGACATGAACAGGGTGCCATGCAGCCTCTTCCATACATTGACTTTTAGCTGCTCGTCGTGGTTGCATTGTTTTGCAGGCCACATTCGTCCCCGCCACCATGTCGAACAGCTGGTTTGAGCTCTTCTCATGTGAATTTTGCTCTTTGAAGCTGGGCTTCTCGTTCAATCGGGCGCAGTGCTTTCAGATCGAAAGATGCAGCTACTACTGCACTAATTCCGATGAGCAATAGCGCTCATAGCAGTGCTACCGTTTCAAGCGCCTGGAAGGGCCTCCCAGCGACTGGTCACACATGCTGAGCATTTCTGCAGGGCCCTGGTGCACCGCAGCTCCGCTTGCTGGAACTCCCCCGACTCCGGCTGCACGGGCCTTAAAGTTATTTAAAGCCCGAAAATTGCACTCAGTGCCTTCCTGCTGCTTGTCTGGGATTTGCTTGGCAGACTTGAATTTTGAGTTGTCGGATGTTGTTTCCAAGAAGAGCTTCACTCCAGACAGCCGCCAATGATTGCACCTGCATGCACACAGAGAGAGATAGAGAGAGAGAGAGAGAGAGAGAGAGCGAGAGAACACTTGATGGTCTATAGATGTCTATAGTTCAGCGAACTGGCAATAGTATCCGAGCATCTAGCACCGTTGTCCATACATCGGTCGGTGTAGTTGGAGCTGTATATGTTCAAAAATTGCTGACTGCATACTTCGAGGAGGCAGCAATCGAATCGAACGTATCACTCCCTTAGTGGCCAAGGGGCCTTACCAGCCCCTTACGCCGTGACGAAGGAGAAAGAAAGAGAGAGAGAGAGAGAGAGAGAGAGACCTCGTCCTGCAGCAAACAAGCTAGGAAGCAAAAGCCCGGAGAGAGCGGGCCCTTCTGGCTGTGCTGATAAACGTGACTGGTAGTCCAAAGTCTGAAACGACTACGTAGACCGAGGTCGTTCACGGCACAAGATGGAAGGCAGTGAGTGAAGCTCGGGCGCTTTGTTTCGATTCGCCGAGGGATGCAGTCTCTTGACTGACCTGAGTTAAGCTGCCGGGCTTAGGATCGAGGATGATGGTCAACTTGCAGACAGCGCACAGTTGATTAGCTGGGCCAGTTCCAAATCGTCTGCTCCAACAGGCTCCATTGTGACCAGCACCGCGGATTTTGGCTGGCGGCCGGCTTCCAAGACCGGATGCAAAATCTTCGCTGTTGCGTGGTATCGTAAAGGTCCCGAGCGTTTTATCTCGATGACGAGTGTGAGCATGGGGCCTGCACGCAAGGGGTTGAAGCCTCAACACTACGCACTGGCACGCTGGCACGCTCACTGGATGATCAGCAGCCACACTCGCACCATGTGGTGCCAGTAGCGGCGCAGCATGGTTTTGTGAAAAAACTAGCCGCTAGCAGGCAGGACTCGTTTGGAGTAAGTAGTTACAGTAGTTGATCGGCGAGAATTCCCACACTGATCAACAGCGTCAGGGAGCCCAGTAAATCCCCGTGATCCTCGGTTATTTGCAGCTTGCAACATTGCACAAGGTTTCTCCATGTTCTGAGCAAGTCGGCCGCTTGCTTTCACAGTGGGGCATCACCGACTTGTCTTCAGTGAGAAGAGGTCTTAATTGCTGCATGCACCACCTCTTAATCATTCCTTCAATCAGGTTGTTTTCACAGGTTGCGGCACTGGTGCGTTTTTTTCAAGACTTACTGCGCAAACTTGGCAGCATCTTGTCCCTAATCAATTTGCTTGGATTTTCTGCAGCCGCTGGTAGTGTAGCAGATCGGGATCTGGATTTTAGAACCGAGCTAGGCTTCGAAAGTTAGTCGCATGTTCCTCCTGGTGACGAATTCTGATCTCCACCAGTTGCATGTTTAGAATGCAGCTGCAAAATGAGCAGCTCCACCACCAGCCAGGTGGAGGCACTGCCGGAAGCTAAGGGTCAGTGTGGCCGGGCGAACTCTTGTCACAACTTGCTGTTGCTGTCGGCAAACCTACATTCTGAGCAAAATGTCAACTTTGACGTTGATTTGCCTTCAGTAGCCCGACCCTGCCCGAAATCACTCGCCCATGCCAAATCAGACTTAAAGCCAACTTCCCACTCTGCGCCTTTTAGCCCAAATCCAGATTGGTAAAGCGACACGCCATGGCCAACGAGCGCGCTGGCCCTTGTGGCCCCTGCCTGTGCTCGTTGGGTGTTCTGCGTGGCGCCTGGCGCCACTTCCTCGCCCGACTGACTGCTCCCGCAGTGCCTCGAGCAAGCAAGAATCTAGAATCTACAATCTCTAAGGGCTGGTCGGCAGCGCTTTATGGTTTCTTCGGACCGTCTGCCGGCCCTTCCTGGACCGTGGAGCGAGATCGAGCGAAGAGTGGTGAGACATGAGCAGCATACGTATCGAGAGAATGAGAAGCTCTGGGTCTCGGTCACGTGGTGTGTGTGTGTCTATACATACATACATATATATATATATATATATTTATTTATTAATGAATAATATTATATATATATATATCTATATTTATATATTTATATATTTATATATTAATGTATGTATTATTTTTGGGCGTCGATTGGATTCTGTGCCGTGGGCCAGGTGCATGACTATGCCGCGTCGCCCCTTGGACTGAAGCCAGGTTGGAGAGCTGTTTGAGCTAGTTTTGTCCTCTTACGTACAGGCTGCATATTGTGAGGCCCACGTGCTCGGACTCCACAGCTGTACACTGGGGGTCATTCCGACATGTCTGCTGCCAGTCAAGGCGGCCTTTGGCGAAATGCTCGGTGGAGGTCTTAGATGTGACGACCCCAGCTGAAGAGACAAGACATGGAACTGGCAAGGACACGCACGGAACCAATGTTCTTCCTGTGCTCTCCATCTGCACCCTTGAGGGCGTCATCATGGGGCGCGACAAGTGGCTGGGCGGTGAGCTGGGTGATGATGGCTGCATATATGGAGTGCCAGGCAGTTGCGGGCAAAGCCGACTGGAAGCTTTCGTTTTCTCGCCGTGTAAAATGCGCTGACACTCGTCCGAGTGCGTTTGGTTCTGAGGCTTTGTCAGGTTGATGCGTAAACAGATCTGTGAAGCATTGCTTAGAAGGTCAGGCCAGTAGTCCCAGCATAGTAGACCCGATGTGCATAAATGCAGCCATCTCGCCCATCTCGTTCTGCACATCGGATACAGCCGCTCAAATCATGCTTGGACTCTGGACTCCTCGCCGCCTTCGGTGTTGAAAGAACGGCCTCCGGCCAGGCAGCGCGCCGCGTGTTCTCAAGGTATCGCCAGCTGATGGGAAGCTTGACTTCTTAGCCGTCCTGTACTGCTATAATTTGGAATCTGACCCGTCTGACATGAGCCTCCGAGAATGGAAGCTTGCTTTGCGCCGACACTGCAAGGGCTGTGGAGACAATTGGCCCGGAGCTGCCAGGCAAGTTTAAGCAGCTTGGCCGCTCTTGGTACGGACAGGGTCGAACTTGCTTGGACTTGTTGGCTGGCAGCCCGCACCAATTTTTCGAATCAGCTGATGCAGCTCCGTTGTCAACATGCCGACATGCAAGCAATCGGGCTGCACTAGGAGATTTGCCACTTTGCTGTTCCAGACCCGATTCAGGTGGCTTCGCGGCATCCACGTGGACGGGTCGATTTACGGGGTGCCAACAAACTCAGATAGGGCTCTGCAGCTGCAGAAGAGGTTGTGGAGATTTTCGGGGCTTGCATGGCGGGGGCAGAAAGCCTTAAAGCGAACGTCCGAGGTTTTGCACATCTCGCCAGCAGCCGGCACGGTCGACTTGATTGGGGAGTCCTTCACAGGGGGCTGGCCTCTTCGGCAAGAGATGTCCTCACTTGCAAGGCTACGTGGTGCTGGTTTGGATTGGCTTGTATACTTCTCCCAGTCCTTTCGGTGGTGCCATGGGAGCTGAGCAGAGAGAACTGCCGAAAGAAAGCTACAGGGTGACTCTTGAACTCTGAAAGCAACCGGGTTTAGGTCCAGGTTTCGAACGCGGGCATCCCAGGAAGTGGCACGGCGGTGTGCTGAGCCCTGTCGATCGCTGCGTTTACGCGATCCCTTGCAACGCCGAATCGGTGCTCAAGATCTTCCCAGATGGCTGCTGGGATCAGCAAGCATTCAGAAAGGCTTTGAACTCTGGTAGTTCTTCCCGAAACGAACCAGAAGCGAGACCCTGAGCAAAGCATGGCCTTTTCGATTTCGTCCGCAGGACGCGTTACAACCATTGGGGAAGGTTCGCCAGTGCTTAAGGGCAGAGCCGCTCTCTGCATTTAGCACTGACCCATCGCAACCCGAAACTTATCTGCCCTAGCCTCAAGCTTGGTGACTCGCTGTGTTCCAGGGCTCAGGCTGAACTGTTAACCGTTAACCCACTTACAGCTTGGTTTGCGAGACAAAATAGCCCGCCTGGGCCTGAATGGCTTTTTCGGCTGAGAAGACTCCTCTACTGTCCCTCCTGCTCAGTGCAAGTGGTATGGCGGCCTTCTTGGCAGTGATGGCTGCATCTACGGGATTCCGAACTGTGCGGAATCGGTTCTGAAGATCGACCCCGCCAAGCAGGAGAGTACGTTCACATGCAGTGAGGGACTGATGCTGGAGGCGATAGCTGGGAAAACAAGCGCCGTTTTCCCATCTGTCAGCAGTCATCATGGTCCCACGCAGTTGTCGTATTCATTCGTATCGTTGAAGCGGCACGATCATGAGCCTGCTTCTGACCAGGAGGTGTCGACCATTGGCCCCAAGTTCCTCCAGGGTGGCCAGTGACTTCGACTGCACGTGCCCGCATTCAGGGTCAACTTAGGTCATGCCAAATCGCAGCGGTGGCTTTGTAAGCTTCTATCTCGACTGGGGATAAGGTGCCATTTGTGGAGACTCCAAGGCCGGATTGGGGTTTACGGTTTACAGAAACTTGAGTTCGTGGTCTGACCACGTTTGACAAACAAGCAGCACTCATAAGACGTTGCCAGGCTTGACGTCGAGGAAAGGTCATGCCGTCCTTGAGGTCAGTATCAGCATTCTGGATTCCGCAAAGTTAAGGCAAAGGTCATTTCCCTGCCATGTGCCGAGGAAATGGCACGGTGGTGTGGTCGGCAAGGCGGAACGACTCACATGTCTAGAAGACTGCATTCAAGCAACGCCGAACCATAACACACACACGGACACAGACACGGACACGGACACAGACACAGACACAGACACACAGACACAGACACAGACACACAGACACACAGACACACAGACACACAGACACACAGACACACAGACACACACACAGAAACACAGACACACAGACACACAGACACACAGACACACCGACACACCGACACACACACACACACACACACACACACCCACACACACACACACACACACACACACAGACACACACGACACACACACACACACCACACACACACAGACACACACACACACACAGACACACACACACAGACACACAGACAGACACACACACACCCAACACACACACACACAATACACACAGTCACACACACGCACACACACAAACACACACACACACCACACACAACACCACACACACCACACACAACACACACAACACACACAACACACACAACACACACAACACACACAACACACACAACACACACAACACACACAACACACACACCACACACACCACACACACCACACACACCACACACACACACACACCACACACACACACACACACACACACACACACACACACACACACACACCCACACACCCACACACCCACACACCCACACACCCACACACCCACACACCCACACACCCACACACCCACACTCCCACACACCCACACACACACACACACCCACACACCCACACACACCACACACACACACACACACACACACACACACACACACACACACACACACACACACACACACCACACACCCACACACACACAACACACACACACACACCACACACACCACACACACACACACATACACACACACCACACACACACACACACACCACCCCACACACCACACCACACACCCACACAACACACCACCACACACACCCACAACACACAGCACACACACACACACACACACCACACACCCACACACACACACACACACACACACACACACACACACACACACACACACACACACACACACACACACACACACACACACACACAACACACACACACACACACACACACACACACACACACACACACACACACACACACACACACACACACACAGTAAACTCACACTGCTGCTAGAGTTCACAGCTGAAGTAAGCAGACGGTCCTAAATTCACAATGCTGCGGTCAGCTGTGGGAGATGCTTTCCATTTCCATCACCTGAGCTCTCAAAATGTTGTGCCGAAGAGAGGATGGATGCATCTACGGCGTCCCCTCACATGCAGAGGTGCCAAGCTCAGAGGGAACGGGGGGGACGAGGCAGAGATAGAGAGAGCGAGAGAGTGGGAAGTGCTCCGGTTCCTGCTCCCAAAATGGGACCAACGGCGCGAACTCAAGACAAAAGAGAAGAGGAAGAGAGACAGACGGATCTGAATTGGTGGGACAACGGACTCAGCGAGAGAGTGAGCGGGAGAGAGAGAGAGAGAGGCGCAGCAGAAAGAAAGAGAGAAAGAGAGAGAGAGAGAGACAGCGTGTAAAACCCCTACACCATAGCCCTGGCGAAAGAAAGAGAGAGACAGACAAGTATGATAATCGACATTCGTTTATCCCACGGGAGCATCAATCGTGTTCTCACACGCCAGAATCCGCCAGAACCAATGGGTGACGCTAGATGACGGCTCTACGCTCGCAGTACAGATTGAGGCCCCGCCGCTTTCCACTTGATAACGTAGTGTACCATAGCCATAGCCAAACCTGCCACTGAGCACGGAGTACAGCCATGGTTCTGCAGCCAACTCGTTAATTCCATTTAATTCAATCGGTCTGAAATGACCCTTTTTGAATAACTAGTCGCATGCCCTTAATTAGGTGCAAACTCTGCATGCAAACTCTGCAATCGTGCAATGACTCATCCCGACGGCTGCAAACCTGCGCATGTACAAAACAAGGACTGACACAGCCCCTGGTAATCTCAGGACAGCATGATGCAAAGCCTGCCGGTATGCTCATGATATTCAACAGACACCATGATGCAAGCCTGTTGTAAAGTTTTGTAGCATGTGCACACATTTGCCGAAATCCCATTGATAGTTCATGTCACGGAAGTGCGATCAACATATATTTCAGCCTGAAGCCCTTACTGAAAACAACTAAATGTGCTGTATGCTCCCTTGATGAAAACAGCTGCGCCTGCTCGCTGGTGAACAGCTGTATCCCTCGAGGCGTACACACCTTCATATTCCATACCTCCTGATTGTCCAACAGCCATGGGCTTTGCCTGGACGGAGGCGATTGGCGACCTCAGCGTGCTGATGCTGATCGTGTCCGCTCTTGCCGTGTGGATGCGATGTTGGCGCTTGCGAAAAATGATGTGATCTCAGCGGTACAGCTACAAGTACAAGAACTCCAGCGGCATTCTGAGACACATACTGAACACGTACGCCACTTGCTCGAGGAGCTCAAGCATTCGCCGACACCACCACCGATAGCTGACAATCCCAATGATTTCGTGAACTTCGCCACAGGTGACTTCAAGACCTTTGCCGACGACACCAAGCAGGAATTCATGCAAGTGGCACAGCGTATGACTGAATTGGAACAACTTCTCCAACAATTACCAGTGCAAGTGAATTCAAGCATTGATGACTCCCGTGCCAAGAGTCACAAGATGACTAAGACAAGCATGCAGGAAATTGTTGACTTGGGACAAGGCTCGCTGCAGACGTGGCTGACATCGGAACTGCAAACTAGATTGGACAGCATCATCAATGTCCTTACGGGAGTGCAGGCAGAGTTGACCTTGGTCTCTGACTCCACTCGCTTTGACTCGCTAGAGCAAGACCTCCAGAATGCCGTCAAGCTGGTGGATGAACACCTTAACAACTTCAAGGACTTCCGGATCAACGAGTCCAGTCAACACCAAGCAGTGATATCTCTGGCAAAGCAGACCCAAGCCATGCTGTCGTCATTGAGATCTGAAATCATTCAGCCCCTGCAGTACCTGCACAACAACGCTGCGACTCATGGACAGGTCAGAAGCATCGAGCAAAACCTTGATTTGGCGAATCAAAATGTGTGGGCCAATCAAGGTCACTTGAAAGGACAAGATGACTCACTTACAGAGCTCAGTGGCGCTGTGGAAAAAATACAACAAGTCCTGCAGAAGGTCCAGACGCAGATGGAGAAGATTATCACCAGGCTGACGCCGCCGCAGCAGAAGGCGCCACCACCGACCCCGCCAAGTCAGCCCTCGCAGGACCTACCTCCCTCAGATCCAGCACCGGTACCGAAAAGCTCGGCATCAACAAGCTCCACTCCGTCGCCGATATCCCCACTACAGAGCGGAGCACAACCTGATGTACCAATACTGAGGATTCAAGAATCCCTGCCGATGCGTCAGCCGGTGTCGTTGTTTCACAATTTGCCTCACACACCGCCAATGCACCTGAGCAGCGCACTTCATCACGATGCCCGAGCGCGAGAGGCATTGGCATACCTGGCACAGGCCTGTGGTATGTTGCCCTAGAACTGTTGGTGTCCTAGGTTTAATTGGGTTGATGGCGGCGACTGTACATTGTTGTTTGTTCTCTTTTGCTTGAGCCGTATACTGGGAAATGAAGCGGGCCTGATGCGTGCAATTTAATTGATCGACTGTTCGAGGTTGTAATCTCTAATTCATAATTCATAATTCTGGCGCAAGTCGCACTGCAACTGTCGTCACAGAGGCCACACCAGCAAAACAGCAAGCAGCCCGGTGCTAATGTGGCGCTGAGAAGCTGCCCACACCATGAGTGCGCTTGAGAGTCTGATCTTTATCAATGTTTTTGCTTAGAGCGGTCTGTGAGAAGCTGCATGCATTCCAGTCGCATGTTGCACAGTGCAATATACATGTCCCTGCCACTGCACCGTCCCAGGCTCACAGTCATATTCACGGTACTCCCTTAATCATGAGTTCGGATTCGCGCGGTGCTGATGAGTGTGCGGGCAATCTGCACACACTGGATGCACAGCAACAACAGCCTGAACACAGTGATGAACAACCTGAACTCAGTAACGAAGTCAAGCGTGCACTTGCTAGAGCACTGAAAGTTGATCATCGTGTTGCGGAGTCTGAGGCAGTCTGTTATGCAGTCAATTGCAAGCATGCTAGAGACGGTGTTGACGTGTCTCGATCAGACCTACTCGAAGCATGGGACCTTATCCCCGGCTCCTTCAAGCAACAGGTTCGTGGTGAAGCCATGCCAGACACGTCTCCCGCAGTTATTTATTTTGGCGCTAACCCTAGAAGCAGCACTGTTTGCACATGTGGGTCTGATCGTCACCCGAATCTCTCCAGACTGATTGTGAATTTCATTCGGCAGCAGGCTCCTGGTTTCTGTTTCACGTCCATTGCTTTGCGCGAGGACTGTGCTAGACCGCCTCATAGAGATGCCCGTAATGGACCATGTGGCACTTACTTCCAGGTCTTAAGTGACAGCAAAGGCGGCGGACTGTGGATTGCCCATGCTATGGGTGACTCCACAAAACAACACTTTGGCAATAGAATTGCAGGGTTTAACTTTGCTGCGGTTCACAACCCTGTAATTTTTGATGCCCGTAAGTTGTTGCATGCTAGCCAGCCGTGGGAAGCTGACTCTTCCAGACTAGTCGTAATTGCTTGGACCGTTATCCATTTCCGCACTCTGTCCCCTGGAGTCCGACAGGAACTGCGAATGCACGGATTCCCAGTGCCAACGAACCTGGATGCAGCAGTTGACATTCCCTTTCCTTTGTGGCCCTCTACTTCCCTAACTCCGGAACCAGCCTCCAAACGCCTGAAGCAAAGTTCCCTGACCCTTCAATTGACCGCCACAGCTGCTGCATCGGGTCATGGTACCAGTATGACGCTCGGCGCTGACGGGGTGATCACGCATCACCTTGACTGAAATGCGCAGGTCTCCACTTGCCTGGTTGAGCCCCTTTATAATAAATCAAAAAAACAAAGATAGAATTCTGGACTTCTACTGGGCTCAGCAAGGACAAGGGAGAACTGACGAAAGCTGAATTCAATGCCTGCATGAGTAATTCTTAATTTCAGGCTTAATTCGTAATTGATAATTGAAAACGATGTATTCAAAAGCTGCAAATGATGGTGCTCACCGCTGATGAAATGCTTCCACATATGATGTTACTTACTCTTTGACTTCATTCGTGCCCACCTATTCCACCAATGCTGACTCAAAGTGTGTGACATAACCTGCCTCCCAGTACTTTACAGACAGAACCAAGGCATCTGACTTTACCTTCCTGGTGGGCCCTGGCGCTTATTTTAAAAGACTTTGCTTTTATCATGCAAATTTGCTTTTATTGTCAAATGCACACATAAGAAAAGACCCAGCGCTTTTCTTTAGGTCTTTTGTTGTGCAGATATCTAGATCTTGCTAGCTATTGCCTTGGTTTGGCTGCTGTGGCGCCGCAGGGGCATATACATCATGATAACTTTCGGTCTTTTGTTGATTTGTGCTAGCTATATCGCCTTTGTTTGGCTGCTTTGGCGCCGCAGGGGCCTTAGTCATGTTTATGGGAAATTCCAAAACTGCGCACATTTCAAACTTGGTGTCCCAGGATTTTCTGGATTTTGCCCTTGTCCCGTGCATGTTTTTGTTTTGGTCAAACTTCCAAATATATCCAAATCTGCTCACCCAAATGTTTGGTCTCCTGCTTGGTTGTCGCCCACGCACCATATGCTACTTGTGTGTGTGTCTTGAGTGGTCGGCCCCTCTCTTGGTTGTCGTTTCGCTTGGTCTCATCTGTGGTTGCCACCCTGGGTGCTTGAGTGTGTCGGTCGGTCCTTTGAATCTTTTTGGTGCTTGCTATGTTTGAGCTTCTTCGACTGTGGATTTTTGTGGACATGTATCTGCAAGACATATCTCCAGGAGCTCCATGCGTGGGTTCAAACGATAGCTACCCGAGGATTGGTCCCCGTGGCCGCGACTCCGCACGCACAAGTGCGTGCTCCACATTGATCCTACGCCCGATTCTCGCAACTTGAAGGCAAACCATTCATATCATCATATTGATTGTATGAACTCTTTTGTGCTGCAACTGGCATTTCGGCTCCGGCAGCATTTGCACTGCCCAACCTTCTCTACGCTGAATGCTTGCACGTTTCCTCAATCATCGAAGCGGTCAACTGGTACACACCAACAAGTTCATACGTCGACTGGGACTTATAGATCGAAAATGCTGTCGGCAATGGGTTGCCGCAAATGGTATGCAATGTGCCGGAGGGGCCGTTTGTAACGGGAA